AAGGGATAAGAACTAGATTAAGCTGATGGGTGCCCACTGAAGGCCTACGTACCATATACACCGCCCGCCACTGGATAGGAGGAATGTGACCTTTGAACCTGCAGAGTTCAGAGTCAGCCTGATTCTCCTCTAGTTTCCTTTTGTTAATAAATGAATCCTTTCTACTGTCGGCCCATTCTGGCTCACAAGGAAGGAAATCTGCACAGTCAGACTAGCTGGCTTCTATATATAGATTATCTATGCCCAGTTGGTGGTTTTTTTATATCACATTTTAGCATTAATCTGGATTGTGTGTCATTTCAATCTGTATTTAAACCAGAGGCTCTGCTTCTCATCTGAAGTGCTTTGAAGGGAGACCTGCACTAACGTCTGCGTTTTCTCGTACACAGAAGCTGCAGAGAAGCTGTTCGACTTGGTCGACAGTTTTGCAGAGAGTGCCAAGAGGAAGGCAGCCGTATGGCCTCTGCTGATCATCCTCCTCATCCTCTGCCCAGAGATTACACACACCATCTCTAAAGACACAGTGGAGGAAAGCAAGGCCAACAAGGTGGACAGAAAGAAAGTCACAAACGCTCGATGCTTCCAAACAGACGCTGATGCCATCAATCCACCTGCTTCTCTTCTCTGTTGTTTCTGCAGAAACTGTTTTTGGATAATTTGCGCAAAGCTTTATCCGGCCAGGGAGGGAGCAAACAGCTGATGGAGAGCGCCGCCATCGCCTGCGTTAAGCTCTGCAAAGCTTCTACCTACATCAACTGGGAGGATCACTCAACCATTTTCCTTCTGGTCCAGTCCATCGTCATGGATCTCAAGGTCCAGATGGTTGTTCCCTTTATCCTGTATTGAATTATTTATCTATGTGATGCAGGAGCTGTGCCCCATCCTCTAGGATAAGTGAGGTAGGGTTGGAAAGAACCAAATCAAAATGCGATTTCCCTGATAAGTCAAAACTTCAGGAGCTGTGGATTAAATCTTAATGGCTAAAGTAGACTGTAGAGCCTAAAGACATCATTGATATGACTAGCTTCAGTGTTAAAGCTGTTTAGCAATGCTTCCAGCAGCGTGGCAACCTCATCTGAGCGCCTTCAATGAACAGAAACTTTCATACTGGATTCTAGTTGCTATTCCCGTCTCTTCCTCCTTTGAATCCAATATTTTTTTATTTATTTTTTTTATTTCTAACTCTGGATATTAGACCCACATCGTCCATTGGAGGTGCTAACTGGCTTAGCAGCATCTTTTCCTAGTTTTCAGCCTAGACACACGTGCGGCGTTGTACCACCAATAAGTATACATCAAGGCTTTTATTGACCAATAAACTGACCAAAATAAAAACGTAAAATATGAACTGACAAGCAATGAGCCACCAGGACATGGTAAACTTGGAGAAAATGAAACCAGATTGAGCTGCTGGGGTGTAAATTTAGCGTATAACCCTTTAATGCTTTGTGTGGGTTTTTGAACAAACCTCAGCTGCTGCTCTTTGGTGAAGACGCTCATCTGTTCTCTAAGCACCAGATTGGGCCTAAAGCAGTTTCCTGAAATCGGAAGAGATCAGAGATGTTCTCTGTCACGAATGTCTGACCTGGGTTTTCTTGTCTCCGCAGGCTTTGCTGTTTAACCCGGCCAAACCGTTCTGGAGGACGACCGGCAGTCAGAACGCTGACGTGGAGCTCATGGTGGATTGCTTTGTCTCATGTTTTCGCATCAATCCCCACAACAACCAGCACTTTAAGGTAGCTGCACGGATGTGAGCTTAAAGCCGATCGGTCGGTCTGCTTCTGCTACCCTTTGTCCCGTTTCTCATCTCTGCCCTTTAGGTCTGTTTGGCTGCCTCCTCCCCTTCGACCTTCCACTTCGTCCTAGTCAACTCGTTGCACAGAATCATCACCAATGTAAGCGTCTAGAGACAATCCGCTGAGTACTTCCTGCCTGGTCTTTGCTCTCTCTGACTCGTTCCTCCTGTTTCTGCTTTTTCAGTCTCATCTGGACTGGTGGCCGAAGATCGATGCAGTGTACTGTTACTCTGGGGAGCTCCGCTTCATGTTCTCAGACACCCTCAACAGGGTGATCCAGGGCACATGCACTCATCCTCCCATACGCATGACCCCGGTTTGTTTGTTGTCAAACCTTTCGTCTAAAAAGGATAATTTGTAGTGGTGATCATGACAACCAGCAAGCTTTATGCCTTCCTACAGAGTCTGACGTTCATCGGGAAGAAGACCCCAAGCCTTAGGTCCAAAGAGAAAGCTACAGAGCAAGACACTCGGAGTTACAAGTGCCTTCTTCTCGCTCTAGTCAAGCTGATTCATGCTGACCCTAAACTCATGTTGCACGTAAGTCCACCTACATTTACTACAGGAAATATATCTCAATAACTGCAGGGGTTGACGTTAAGGATTTTCACATTTCATTTGCCCAGAAACAATTTTTACTTGCCCAGTATAATGTT